TTCAACAATGTTTCTTTAAAATACTATTTTGTTATATATATTTTTATTGCAGTTGTTCGATAAAATGTATGGTCTATATTGAACTACATATAGTAATCGATTCTGACATTTATGTTTTTTAAGTTTACAATGTAATACTGATCGCATGGAACAGTTTGTACCGATAAAGTTCTTCTTTATACTGATGACGATGGGTATTATCAAATGAGTAAGCTATAGCAAATTTAACTCAAGAATACTTGGTTATAACCCCAAAGTAAAACATTTAGTCATATGTTAATCTTGGGTAATGAAAACATGTTTAAAAAGCATACTACAATCAAATGTTCGAAGAATTATTCATTACTAATCACCAAAAACAATTTATAAATTGTGTACATCTGTTTTTAAAAAAAACTGTAATCAGCAGTACATAAATGATTTGTGCATTCAAATTGATCGGTTCATGTTTATTTTATTTATTTAGTAGTTTAATTAGTAGTAGTAGTATTCAGGACGCCTACAAACTATTTACACGGCATACCATATTCATACTGACAAAACACTGGTGTGTTACATTTCATGAAGACTATAATTTAATCTGAATAAACCTAATCAATATTAGTTCTAACTTATTTTTGGTGATATTGTTTATTCATCACCGTACTTATTATGATTATTATTCTTTATATAAATTCATCTATTTATTGCCTATTGTGATTTCTATATATAATACTGTTGATTGTGTAATACAATAGAATTTCACATTTACGTGGGTTCGTGTAACGTTTTGTGTAGTTATATATATATATATATATATATATATATATATATATATATATATATTATTTGGCACAGGTATGTTGTCTGTGAATCACTTTATATGTAATTTCATGCACAACAGTCATAGTGCTTGTAAAAATAATTAGAAAAGCAGAAAATTTCAACAACGAATCAACCATGATATGAAAATAGTTTAGCAGTCAAAGATCAAAGGTGAAGTGAATAATATTCTACCGAAAAGGATTATTTGCTATTACTTAGACGAGCAAACATAACAGTGTGTAACCTTAGATAAAGGTTCACTAGTTCAAGTTGTTCCATTTTTTTTTCAAAATACGTTTCACTAAAACAATAACAAAAATATATTGATTATGCAAATAAACATGAATGGATATAATATATAAACACAAATGAGAGGATGATTAACTTTTGATCATACCTTCGACTATTATTAACTAAAATATATTTTAGTTACCTAACCCAAATCGTTCGCAGTAATAGTCATTGACGTCGGGGACTTGAGATCATATACTTATTGGGAAATTTCGATGACCTAGTTTCGGTGTTCAAAGTTTGCCAAATGAATCAACATGTAGCTGATATATATCAGTATCTTTGAGATTGTAGTACCCTGTTTATAATAAATTATGATCATTTAAATAAAATAACAACGTAAAGTGTGAATAGAACAGAACTGAATCTATTTTTTAAATGGACGTCCAATCGAAAACGAAGAATTTTCAAATACGACAAGCTTAGATAAAAGTATTTGTTTAGGGAGTTATGACATGAATCGGCAAAATTATAATTTACAGACGAACCAATCAGGTTTACGATAACTGGTCTCGGAATTCGGCACAAAAATCATTTACCCATTTGTCTAAATAGCGTTTTGGCGTTTTGGATGATGGCGATTGGTGATGCAAACCTTAAATATAATTCCTAATCCTAATCATCGATTGTAAATCATAATCCTTGTTCTTCACACTGCTTTATGATCCTCATTTAGCCCTTATAGGTAGGAAGACACTCTCAAGGTCACTTTAACATCACTCAAAGATTGTCCATATATTAGAGTCTCACCTTTGAATTTTTATGCTGATATTAGGATATGCGGAAATTATTGCGAAACAGTGAGCTCCTTTTATTCAAGCAGAAAAAAATTATGCGACTTAGATTATATACCACTAACGGTGTGGGTATTAAATTTATGCCACAGGACTAAATCAACAATTTCTGAGTATATGTAGCATTGTGGTGTGCTACTTATATCGACATAAGTAGTATATAACACTAGTCAGGAATAGAATGTCTGACAGCAAACACTTAAGAAGATCGAGGAGGAAAGAACGGGAACAGAAAGCTATTGGTATAGAAATGCAAGAACAATGAAATCTGAGACAATTATTGAAAATTTTGCAAATGAAGTATTTACTGCATTGTTTTCAGATTTTACTAAGACGTTCCGTAATTTTGTGTTCAGATACATTCGATTTTCCTAACTTGTGTTAACGTTCACTGCAGCATATTGATTATATCAGTAAAAATATGCAAAATATCGTAGTTATGGCATAAAGGAATGTCTCTCTAAAGTAAAATAAATGTTGTGTGTTATTTAAATAGATTCTGTTTTACGTTAGAAGACCTACTAACGATCCAAAATTATGTTATTATAAGCATGTAGTACTTCTGAGACAGTTCTATAGACTACAAAAACGAAAAATTGTTTGTGGTCATTCTCTTTATCCAAATTCGACTCACTAATTTTCTCTTTTCTTCATATTTTGAAATACATTCAATGACTGTAATCTTTTCCTTTACTGTTAGAAATCGTAAGATTCTAAGGAGAGATGCGAAAAATGTATTTCTTGGACTTACAGGAAGCTTATTGCTTGTGATATCAATTACACCAAAAATATCTTATTATTATTTAATATAAGATTGGAATTTAATTGAATCGAAGTGTTTGAATAATAATGTTTTGCATTTTGTGTCCTATTAGCTTATGCCTATTCGTATTCTGATGTCTGTATATAAAATGTTTATTTCACACTGGTATTTCAGACAAACATCTGGTCAAGAATTATTTTCACCACTTAATTTTCTAGCTAATTTCTTTTGATTTCCTCGTTGGTAAGAAATATTTCACCAATAATAACTGTTAACTGTTATGTCGGAATTCAACATTTGTTAATAAATTGTATAGATTTATTGAATATTATTTTTCATTATACTGCAATCGGTCAGGTCGTTTTTAATCGTTTATCCAGAATATTTATTAAACTTCAAATTCAGTATAGTAATTATTTATATTTAAAAAAGTGAATAAAAATTATGTATTTTAATTTCAATCTTAATAGCGTAGGCAATTTTACACTACCATTTCAAACTTCTGAATCAGCTTCTATAAATCATGCATTACTACCATTCAAGATATTTGCCCTAAGGTTATTAACTAATGTAGGTAGGTGTTTCCAATAAAGCTACAGAAAACTGATTAGTTGTTTCCTCTGAGTTTGGGATCCTACGGGTTGTAGATAATCACAATGTTCTTAGGAATTAAACCCGGGAACTTCAGGTTTCATGATAAACGTTTATTGTTCATATGGCTGAGTTCAGCCTATTCGTAATATAGGATGATGATTATATTATTATGTTTATGACGTCTGTTTAACTATTGACATGGCTGAACTCTACATGTATTGATTTATTTTTAAAATGTCCAGAATATATATTGAAGCTAGTCTTCAAACTTTAATATTTGTGTAGATTAATTTACCAAATAATAAATGATGGGAGCGGTTTCGGGCTAAACAAGAGACACATAGTAGTAATTTAGTTCATTTTTAATGAACAAAATATTGCTGTATTGCATTGAAAACAGGATAAATCTGCTAGATTCTATTGGTATTTACTTTTATTGAATTTGTCACACATTCATTTCTAAATTTACTATTTTCCACATAACTCTAGACTTCAAAAAATATTTCAATTAATTTTGACTAAGTAAATTATATGTTTTGTTTCAGTTCAATTTAATTACAGAAAACCATCTCATTGATTCATTTATTACAAAATCATAAAATTGCACAAATTATCAAATGAAGAACAAATGTTGTTCTTTTGATTTTTCCCATTACATTTAATTGATTTCATGAAATACATAAGCTTCGTTTACACATTATTGTTTAAACATATTCGATTAGAGTGTTTTGTATAAAGATGGTTACTCACATTTTATTACTCCCTTTTTAAACATGTGCGAATTAATATTGTTCATAGGTGAATTGTGTAACAGTTCAAAGCTCAATAACATTTTACAAGATTCCTGTCACATGCTGATTTTTATCCGACTCAATTAATTTAATATTCATATATATCTTAAATACAATTTGTGATTTTGTGGGAAAACATTTTTAATTCATTCCAATGTTGGAATGCACTTGAAAAGTTATCTCATACGATGTAGCACCTTATCATCATGACTGTGTTTTGTTATTTTAATTGTTGTATTTTCATTTCTGCCATTTTAACTCAATAACTTTATATTAGTCTTATCTGTTTAATAATGACGGCTTCACATCTCACTGTATAGTCAATAATAATCAACAAATTAATTTAAAAGTAACAAAAATTACATTTTCAGTATGATTTCTGTCACAAACTAATATCAATTAAGATATCATTGTAGACAGAGAAAACAATATCATGGCACAGATACAAGGTTTATGTTGCCGAGTTGCATTCCGAAAATAAATTAATAAATATTTAGTAATTCTTGGATTTCGATGAATTCCATTTAGAATCACTGCTGAATTTCATATTTTGGTCATATAAGTGCAAATTTTATGTACTTTTGAAATGGTTAAAAGAACCTAATCAGAGTCGAATACTTAATATTTCGTGTAAATATTGGTGTCACGAATGTATGAATTTAGGACGATTTCATTTTACGTCCGTATAAATACAAAGCACGGGTTTTTCCAGGACCCCAACGTTAGTTTTGATTGATATCTTCCTTTACTTCTTAATGAGATGGGCTGTTAATACATAAGTATTAATTGTTTGTAATTTGTTCCTTATAAGCGTTTTCATAAAGCGCTTCTGTTCATGATCTTAAACTGATTTTAAAAGCAAGAATTCATGGAACCGTCTTAACAGTTTAAAATATCTGTTCAGTCAAGTAGTAAATGCGAAATCCTCATACAAATACATATAACAATCGCAGGTAAACTTACCAACAATACCAAATTAAAATAACCGCGAATAAGATTATTAAAAGTGTGACAAATAGTCCAACTACTAAACCGATTGTAGCAGAATAGAATCCTTCAATGAAAAAAGTAAATAAAGAATAAATGAAGTTGAAATTAATCAACATGTAATATTTATTAAAGAATCAATGCATAAATCGATTATGTAGCATCATAACTCGAATTAATTAAGCCTGAAAAAGTAATAAAAACCCTGATGGCCTGTAATGACTGACTAATATATGAACGGTTTAGTGTTGGTTATTTTGAAGTAATTCGTTTGAACCACTAAATTTGGTTAAACTTTCACCGACAAGCCAATTATCAGTCTATAAGAAATCAATTAATACGTTAGCTAGGTTCACAGCTATAGATGTTAACATTGAGATGAATCCTTAATACTTACATTGATTATATTCATTGAAGACACGATATTGAGTTATTAGGTTGGTGATCACAGTTTATGCATGATATCCCTAATTTCATATTTATTTAGTCTTCAACAACATAAGACCTGGAATAAACGTCCTCCATTCAATATCGCTCTGACTCACAGTACCACGGTGAACAAAGTTCGGTTTTATCATAGTGAACTCTATTAAAATACATTCCCTTTAAACACATTGTTGAGATAGGTCTCCATGTATCAAAGATTACTAAATTCATGTCATTTTTCCAGAACATTTAAAAGGTTACCAACAAATATGCTGCCCTTGGTGTGTACAAAGCTGAAGGCTCCTTAATTATATTCAATTAATTACCCTAATATCCTTAGATTCCAAATGATACTGTGGTTTTTATTAATGTAAATTAGGCAATTAAAGGTAGTCAGTAGTTAACCTTTGACTACAGTTTTCTGCTAGCTGATACTAACATCAGAAAACTGATCCCTCCTGATGAATTCGAGTCCGCCTTACGCAGCTTCACAGTTTTCTACATCGCCATTATTTTATTCAAGCCTCTACTGATCTCCCGTAGCACTAGAATGTTTACAATTAATTAGTTACTCAGTAGTGGTAAGTCCCATATATGTTTTTTTCATTTAGTGTGTATAGAATTCTTTCTTTGAAGTCGCTATGTGGCAAGTAGTCTAGTGTTAGTCAATGATGAAAAGTAATTTTTAATTAGAAAAATTTCCGTCAGTCACCTAAATCGCTCCTAGTTTTCACATATCTAACGACTGTGCATTATTGCGTATTCTTCTGAATAACACTCACTTCTATAAATATAACAAATTAGAATCGTTCTTGTATAAGACAGTTATTATTTATTTCATCATTAATCTCACACAGTACTTTGTTTGTAATAAAAATACCCGCGTTTGGTTGGTGTGTATAACTATCTACTGATTTTTTTAATTTTAAGGTGTCATTAGGTTGATAAATTTGAGACTGACTTGTAGTTAGACTTACTTTTAAAATCAATTAAATTATACACCTTATTAAAAAGCTAAAATATAGCAGTATTGGAAAGAAAGAATTTCGAATGAGTATTTGTTTCAAATAACTTTCTATTCGAACTCTTCTGCTATATTTATCATAAACATAACACTGGAAATGTTAGTAGCAGGCACCGAAAAAGCTTTGATCAAATTAGACTGTGTATCATATTGATCAAGTAAAATAACACAGTATGATAGTAGATGTTATCTTTTCAATATAACTGAAATGTATAAAATAGTTAATAACTGGCAATTCTATAAGATCTTTTGAGTAAGCGATATTAATGAGTCACTAAAAGGAGAACGGTAAAATTTCTTTTTAATCCCTAGGATAAACCTTGAGTTTAAATAATATTCACCAATAAATTTAATGATATATTTGGTCCTACTTTCAGATGACACTAATCTAAAATCAACCGAAATATTGCGTAGATCAATATGACCAACACTTTTTCACACTAAGTTCCCTAAGTAAATGATAATGAAGATATTAGAGTAGTTCTTCTATGCTGACTGATAATACACTGAATTGCTCGTGTTGACTGGAATCCCGAAACTGGGTAAATGAGAAGAGTTAGGTGCAAGATGAGCAAACAAACCTTGTAACAAAAAACCTAGTTACACAATGGTGGAGGAGATTTGTAGCACAGGTGGATGATTTTGATGGAGTTTCGTTCTCTGAGCTGGATGATTTGGTCGTGGAGCTTTCATCGTTCTTCTGAACGACATCATCAGCACAAACTAATTCTACCTGAAGTTTGTGCTGATGATGTCGCTCAGAATAACGATGAAAGCTCCACGACCAAACCACCTAGCTCAGAGAACAAAACTCCATCTAGCTACAGAATCGCTATCAGAGAAATCAAATGACTTAGCATTGTGAAGTACAGTATTATTTGCAGCAAATATTTCTGTGTATTCCTGTGATAATTTGTTAACGGCTGAAGTAGTTCAGTGATGAGATCTCAGACTGTATTTTATGTGGAGAGGGGTAAAGTCCAACTGTAATCACTACTTTCTTGAAGATCTCAGGCGTACCTTACTGATCGCTGTTAACTGTAAAAAAACCTAGGTCAAATTTCTGTTTTGGGGGTTTTGAGTAAAACCATAAGTCACTTTATACTGTTATCAACGTCCGGACAAATTATCTAGCATAACTTTTCGTAAAAGCATTTTAAGAAGTGAATACATCTAAACTATTGTTTTCTTCATTTGTGTGAACTATAATATTGAAAAACGCATATCTTTTATGATATATTTGTTTACTGTTACAGAAACTCACCAGATAAAAATAACTAACGAGCGGCATAATTTTAACAATGGTCACTATATTATATATAAATATATGGTACCGTTGTTATAGGTTTCTGTTTGTTCATGTTTATCAAAGTGATTACGTTTCGCATATTTTAAAAAAATCAATATTACACAAGGGATGGTACGTGTAAATGTCATCACCTTGGTAACCTTTAAAAATGAAGAAGTACTTATAACTAGCATTAAAATAACATTAAAGTAAGAAACATTGTTGAACTGAGCAGAGATAATCATGTTAGTGAAAGTTATTTATGTAAATTTCTGGTGTTATATATTTACTTGTATTAAAATGGCAACTAGTAAAACTGATCTGAAAATTCAGGAAACTGAAATTTCAATTTTGATGCTTATAAATGTTTGGAAATAATATCCCATTGAGCTTGGTTCGAAATGACTTCTTTTCAAAATACAGATCTTTACATCTTTTAGTTTTATATTACTTTATGTTATTTAAAAAAATATAACTTGGGTTACAAAATCATAAGTCTTATAGTTTAATCCACATTCTGTTCATCGGTTTGTATTACACAGTAGTCGTAAATCAATACGAATGAGATATCAAATTCTTTGTGGCTGATTAAGATTCTTCAAAAAATAACTACTCGTCACTGATTTTATCTAACTTATTCGAATCATTAAAACATAAGAAAATTCTTCCCCTAATTGTTAAAAGATTCATGGTTTAAATATAATTTTTTAAAAAAACCGCATGAATGTCCATGTGGTTATTTTAAATTTATTAAATATGATAACTTTATTTATTTTTATCATTAACTGTAATTTTTTTATTAGACTTTATACAAGATATTTGAAACCATTACATACATTCAAAAATTAATTCTAGTTTGGCTGTTTTTAACAATGAAATTGTAACTAGTCATGCTACACCTATTTATGTACCTTGTAGAAATAATTAAACATTTAATAGCTAATCAACTTTTGTTACATGCATAACAACTAATGAAATCCACAGCACAAGTACAAACAAGAGTAGTTTCAGAAGGGGATTTTGTGGATATTATAGTATTTTAATAGCTGAGATCATGAGTCAATTGAAGCTAGACCTCCATGGTAAACCTGGTAGCACTAGACGACCGTTCCGTTTTATTGTGGGACCGATAGAGCCTGGGTTCGAATCTCACGAGGCGGGAGTCCCATACTAGGATGAAACGTAAAATTAGCTTTCTGAACCCATGTCGAGATCTCAAGCAACAACCCTCCAGAGCTTATAACCTTTCCAAGATAAGTGAGATGGGTGATATCATCAGCTACTTCTAAGGGCAAACTTCTTGAGCTAGATAAAAGTACTTTTACCTACGAGTTTATGTTGATTTCCCAAGAAAAGATATTTGATAAGTCTGAGTACTGTTTAGTCAGATTTAAATTATGCTAAGTAATCCCTTTGTTGCCTACTTTTTTTTTTACCACAAATAGCTGACCAACACAGGCGCTTAGGTAACAAGATATCAAATAACAACAGGGTTTAGAAATTATTAAACTAATCGAATTCAACAATTCGTAATGGTTATGTGATGAAAATCGACGTACGTCACATAGAAATAGGTCAGAAATTAATAATATCGTTTTGAATAGTTCTGTTTAACCTACTTTTAGAACAGAAAAGTTTATAATGGAAGTTTTGTATAAGAATAAATCTTGTTTCATACAAAGAAAAATTTCGAATATTATATATATATAAGGTTTAGATTTGAGTAAAGCAGTTCAACCTAATTGTCGATACTCATTAAAATTAATAGGGAAAACATAGAACAGAAGATATAAATTGAAATTTTTAGACCGACTCAATGATAAATAATAAATGATAATACCAGTGAATAATTCCTGATATTCGATACAAATGTCTCTGGAATTAACGTATTTGATTCTTCACAAATTTAACAGTTTAACTGTGAACGGTTTGAATACAGTCAAATGAAATTCACTTCATACATTATCTAGTTTCGACTAGTACTACTTTATAGACATGAGCAAAATACGCTTTTCTTTTAAACCACTTTTTACAAGTATCTACGTTTATAGGCGAATGAATTAAAGTGATAACGTGAAACTTCAAATGTTTCTCGGAAGGCATTCACATTCCCAACGCATTCCGTTTAAAGTTTATTCTTATATTTTAAAATAATTTTAGATCAGAGTCGACTTCAATTTAAAATGATAATTGATTTTAATTTTCTTACTATTTATGTGCATATTCAGTTATCACCTTGATAAAATTGATCTTTGTATGATCTGACAATAGTTTAAGAAAATCAATTCGGAGATTTCCAAGTCTGATTTACTCGTTTTTCTAGACCTATTCTTGGTCATGGTTACAATGTCGAGCTTGATAAGCTCTGTTCAGAAGTATGTATTCAAAGTAGCCATTTAATAATTTAGCATAATTATTGAGAATGTTCAAAATAAAAGTCTATAATTTCAGTCGTCGTTGAATACTGAAACTGTCTAATAACCTCATTTTATGTCTAGTAAATTTATTCAACATTTTAATGAAAAACGTGTCAAGAGCTATATGTTTATGGATCCATAGGCCAGACTGAACCTATCGTCTTCGAGTTTTACGACAGGCATGGAACATTATGTTAATTGTATTCAAATAGAACACTTCTAAATAATTTTTCAAGAAACTTTATTGAAGTTTGGATAACAAACCTCGATCGATAAACCAGAACTAAGATGTTTAACTTTGATTGAAGTTGAGTTACCAACTGAATAAAATTATCACTATAAAATGTTGTATTTCAATTTTGTGACTTAGTGGTATCATGCGCATCGCAAGACGTAAAGACAAGGCAGCGGTGTAAAAATCTGGTAGATTTTCAGCTAAAACAGAGAAGCTATCCAGTTCTTCTTATGATTTTTTTCAGTTGTTTTCCTAATTATATTAGTTAACAATGAACATTAACTCCAATTTTCTTCTTTTTTCCAGTAATTATTACTAAAAGTTATCAACGTTTGACGACCAGCTTAATTAATAACTTACAAAACAATCAATTTACATTTGGGAATTCATTACTTACGGATCAAATTCAAATATATTTACTGTGTAGAATAAATGAAATAAATAATTGCTCTCTATGATTTATTTATTAATTTACTAACGATTTATTAGCATAATAATTTGAGTCAGAGTTGGTTTAATATCTCATGCTATGGTTTTTAATGAAATCACTAAACTTCTGTTGTCAAGTTATGCAAATAAATTAAAATGTCTAGATTGTTACTTTGATCGTGCACAGACCAAATCGCAACTCTACGGATCATTGTGGAACAATCAATTGAATGGAATTCATCACTCTATATCAACTTCATTGACTACGAAAAAGCATTTGATAGCGTGGACAGAACAACCCTATGGAAGCTTCTTCGACACTACGGCCTGCCTCAGAAGATAGTCAATATCATACAGAATTCCTATGATGGATTAAACTGCAAAATCGTGCATGGAGGACAGTTGACAAAGGCGTTCGAAGTAAAGACCGGTGTCAGGCATGGTTGCTTACTCTCACTCTTTCTCTTTCTCCTGGTGATCGACTGGATCATGAAGATGTCAACATCTGAAGGGAAACACGGGATACAGTGGACAGCTAGGATGCAGTTGGATGATCTAAACTTCGCAGGTGATCTGGCTTTTCTATCGCATGCGCAACAACAAATGCAGGAGAAGACAACCAGTGTAGCTGCAGCATCAGCAGCAATAGGTCTCAATATACACAAAGGGAAAAGCAAGATTCTCCGGTACAACACAGCATATAACAATCCAATCACAATTGACGGAGAAGATTTGGAAGATGTAAAAACCTTTACATATTTGGGCAGCATCATCGATGAACACGGTGGATCTGATGCAGATGTGAAAGCGCGGATCGGAAAAGCAAGAGCAGCACATTTACAACTGAAGAATATCTGGAACTCGAAACAATTGACAACCAACACCAACGTCAGAATTTTCAATACAAATGTCAAGACAGTTCTATTGTATGGGGCGGAAACCTGGAAAACCACGAAAACCATTATTCAGAAGATACAGGTGTTTATTCACAGTTGTCTACGCAAAATACTTCGGATCCGTTGGCCGGACACTATTAGCAACAACCTACTGTGGGAGAGAACAAATCAGATTCCAGTGGAGGAAGAAATCAGAAAGAAGCGCTGGAAGTGGATAGGACACACATTGAGGAAAGCACCGAACTGCTTCACAAGACAAGCCCTCACATGGAATCCTCAAGGTCGAAGGAGGAGAGGAAGACCAAAGAATACATTACGCCGAGAAATGGAGATAGATATGAGAAAAATGAACACGAATTGGATGGAACTAGAAAAGAAGGCCCAGGACAGAGTGGGTTGGAGAGTGCTTGTCGGCGGCCTATGCTCCATTGGGAGTAACAGGCGTAAGTAAGTAGTAAGTAAGATTGTTACTTTATTTTCTCGTAGATAAATTAAACTTAAATTAGTCAAGATATGTACATTTTAAATAAAGTAATAAATCTTCGTTTGTAGTAACCAGTTAACTGAAAACTACTCAAAATGATTTTTATTTTCGCTTTAATTAGATAAAAATTATTTTTATTATAAATAGTCCAATTGAATAAAACTTTTAGGGTTAATTTTAACAAAAGCGACTGAATTACTGGTAGGTTTAATAAATCTAATGAATTAGCATATAAATAAATAAAAATGAAAACCCGTACAAGATAGTTTAAAAGATCAATTAAGATAAAGAGCAGATATGGATGTGTTATTGTAATCAATAACTAATTTCCAAGTATTGTTTCCACCTAGACAACATGTGTTTCAATTTCATAAATGGATTAGGACAACACACAATGGCTTCAGTGATGGGTATGATTGTATTACATCTGATCATTGATGATCTTCATTCGAAAATATCATACTTTATGTATTGTTTGGATAGAAAATGTGTACGATATGTCAGTTGATTTTAGTTCGCAGCTTATCTATTGCTCTGTTTTCTACTTGACTTCTGTAGTATTCATCAATGGTGTTTAATATTAGAAATTGGATGAACGATTTTATATTGTATGGAACAATGTAACCTGTAAAAACTATTTCATTACAATCGTGTATTCCCATTAAACTACTTGATGTAATTATATCAATGTTAAATAACCGACGCCTTGCTAAATGATCATTCAAATTTGAGTGTATATCTAAGTATAAATCCAAGTCTCAGAATATTTATGAAGATAAATCGATATGTAGGAAGCAAAGTGTATCTGTTAAAAAGTATTAGTGATATAATATTATTTACTTTGATGTTTCATCTCAATTAAATGAATAAAATTTTATTTCCAGACTTTATTAGAATCATTCAGTCACACATAATCCTGGAATAAATCTCTTTAAACGTGGTTGAGATAGTGATAAACTTAAAGTGTACAAATGGAACATTAACATTTTAATGAACATTTTCTCAATTCTACACGTATGGTGACTTTAATGAATACTTTAACTAAACAAAGCTTGATTAAAATGTTTCTCTGAGCGTTAGAAACTTTACGTATCTCAATATATTTATCAGAGGAAATAGTAAATTACTTTTCAAACGAAAGTATTGTGAAAGCCTCATTAATTTGAAATTATAATTAGAAGTAAAATTATGACATTTATCATGTCACTTCGAAATTGAGACTTTCGAATAAATTGAAAAACTTGTAAAAAATATCTGTTGAACATCACATGGTATTTAATACATTTTAAAATGATTTTTTTAAGGATTAATTTACTTTTAAGATTTTTCTGGTTCCTAATATGTATAACTGTTGTGTACCATATGATAAATGAAATCTAAAGATTTTCGTGATAGATTGTCAATCAGTCAGCTGAAACATAGGACCAGGCACATATGTGCACCAGTCCAGGTTGCCATACCGTATTAGCACAACAAGATGAACACCGGATTCATAGAAGTAGTTAATTCAATGGTGGTAATATATAAAAGGATATAGTACAGAAAGAAAGAATCGGTTGGTAGAAAGAAAGGTATGAAGCGATTTTAATCTCTTAGTTTAAAGGAAGACAGAGAGTGCATACACCGATGCCATTGTGATCGATTCTGAGCCATGAGAACGCTATAAGGCAAGAAAAACTAAGAAGCTGTTTTATCTAAACCCGGAATACTTTGCGTTATACACACGTAAAACTACATTGAATAGAACTAAAAACACTCAAGTATTATTGTAAAACTTTCACCCATAAAAGTCAATTCAAAATCAGTAATAAGCTAGGATAAATTAGTCATCCATTGATTCATAATTCACATTGCTTACTCAGTAGAACTCACTCCCCTATAAAATTTGCTTTCAAATAGTTCAAAATCACTATATAATTGCATCGAAGTGTCTTGTATGACATGAACATATTCATTCCTTATATTTCACGTTAAGTAAAGAAACCAATTTCTACGGGACAACTGATCAAATAATCAGTAAGTAAATACTTATTGTCTATTATAGCATGTTATGGAGTTTATTGAACTTAAAGTTATGTATCATAGACTGAGTTAAGTTCGAAAAATTCGCTTCTAGGCATGAAAGATCATCCATATGTGAAGACTCTGTTAATAGGATAAAAAACAGCTATTCGTAGCTTTCTGATCTTTAATTATTCTCAAATTCACGTAAGTTCATGATGTCAAACAGGTTAGTTAACTCACTGAATGCTTCATTTTCCCACTAGTTCGGCTACAAGATTTCATCTACATTTGTTTAAACAAGAGTATGAAAACCTATTTCTCGATGTATTGAATGTAAATTGCTGGTGTGAATAATTTTAAAAAGGCATAAATTATGAATGTCATTTATATACAAGTTTACAAACTAATATTTTTGATCAAGTAATTATCAATGTTAAACGTTATAATAAATTGTATTGAAATGATACATCACTTGACAGATACAGTATTGTTTTAATTATCACTAAACTTTGATCATAACTATGAATCTCGTGATCACCATATAAAGTGCTTTCATATTGGGATATAAAGATTTCAGTATGTACAGAGCAAACATTAACTAATTCCAAAAACTTACCAGCATAGAATTGACAATAATCACCAATGTAATCATCAGTACACCTAAAGAAAAGTGTGAAGAAGATTTGTAACTTTAATTTGTTTGTAAACATTAGTTAATGTATAAAACGTATATGAATATGAATTACAAACATTTTCGTGATTATCTATCAACATATCCCACAAGATTTGGAAAACTCAAAACTGGTTGAACCAATGACCATTGTTAATAGTTAACTTTTCATTGTAACATTTACAGTTGAGCATACTGACAACAGAAAACCAAACTGTTACAATAAGCTCAAGAGTTCGAAGTACACAATGCTTGCTGAAAGAAAAGCTTTGTTTTATCTATTTGACCACAAGCTTGACTTCATTATCCATAAAGTATATAGTCATTTGTGAATACAGGCTAAAATAATTTACTTTTATTGAAGAGCACAAACGAAAGGTTTAACAAACTTTAGTATCAAGATATTGTAAACTTAAAATACAATTATTCTATGAAAAAAATATACAACAAAATGACACTTTTGTATGTAAGTTATATTATCCATTGCATGAACATCAGCAGTTTAGAAACTAAAATAAATGACTTTACTACAAGTGTGGTGTGTGCTATTTATATCGACACAAGTAGTATATAACACTAGTCAGGAATAAAATGTCTGGCAGCAAACAGTTGAGAAGATCGAGAAAGAAAGAAAGGGAACAGAAAGCAATTGGTATGGAAATGCAAGAACAATGAAATCTGAAACAATTAATGAACATTCTGCAAATGAAGTATTGGAATATGGTTTTTTTTATTTTATCAAGTAACTCTGTAACTCTATCCTTGCCCCAGTTCATATATTCTCAAACAATTTTACATTTATATCGACCATAATACAGATAAGCTATTGGTGAAAGAAATCTTTAAATTAAAAATAGGATCACAAGACTCTATACTTTCTCAAACATTTAGAAAAATTTTATTTAAACAAATCTCTGAATTTACCTATCTCAGACACTCAATTTAAATAAAGTCATTGTAAGTCATCAGTGAATGCTATGTTAAACGTATTTCACAAATATTACTTAGTTACAGTCAGTTAAGTATTAGAGTACGTTTAACATGAAACTAATCATGTTTTAAAAAAATCTACTTTACCATGTACGGATGAATAGTTATTTGACTGACACTATCATGCAGTCGGGCTACTTCATTTAATTCCTAATCAAAAAGATTAATATTTAACCTCAGATGAAAATTATATGATTAATATTGTTGAGTTGATTTATTGTTACCATGGTAGTAATGCAAATTGTGAGTAACGTTATAAATTCACTACCAAAATAACTGAACGATAACAAACAAAAATCAATAGCTTCTTTTTATTTTATTGTATTTATACGTATACAACTTTAAATACACAATATATTATTTAAATTATTGCTTATTTATGAATAATCAATAAAACTGACATATTCACGTACGCGGTTACAAAAATACCACTCTAGATTAAAGAAAAAAATGATGAACTTATTTTTATTGTTTCGTGTCATGTCAATTGTACCTCATTTATGGATAATGTGATATCTGAAATTGTTGACAGTTTAGAGTAGCTATAATTTTACTGTTCGAGTTACGAAAGCTAACTAATATTGCTTGTTTAGTTTCGATACGATTACTAGTTATAGTAAGTTTGTGCTAGATCTACAAGTTTACTGTACTCATTTCAAAACACATTCTGTTCTACTATACCCTCGGTACATATTTTGAAACAATCATAACACATGTTTAGTTAAAGACTAAGGATTAGCTTAATGTTTGGTATAATTTTCGTTACGGACATAAAACATAATCATAGTTGTCAGCTATTTAATAAATAAGCAGTGAAAGTATTTCCTAATTGAAATATTGGTTAATATTTTCAAGCAATTATGAGTAGCATTAAATAACATACGACCACCATATATGCTAATGAGTACAAACGCTAATTTGATTTGAAGAATCCTTAACGAGTAAACGATTCCATTACTTTTAGTCTTTGGAGCTATCCACAGTCCTTCAAGCAATTTATCAATTCTGCTATTTCACGGACTGATTATTTTCCATGAACAGTCCAAAATAAATAAACAGATCCAAATTTTACTTACAATTCTTCACTGAACATTACCTTTCATTCAAAATTCAGTTTTAATCCATTATTTCTTGTATGAAAGACGGAAAACTGAACGAAATTTAGCGCTGAAATGCGGAATCTTAAGTACGTTTGAATTACAATATAATTAAATTGATCTCATTTACTTCACTAATTGTATTCGTTCTTGATAATAATATCCATTAGCAACTTACTATATTTTAGTAATATGGATTTCGTAAAAATTTTAATTTTGTATTCATGACAGAATATATGAGGAAAGTAGGTAAAACATAACAGGTAGCATAGGTTTCCGATTTTCCTAAGGGTTTTCGAACTGATGCTAGTCGAGGTTAAAAGTAACCTTGAAAAAGACAGTATAATAAGATAATTTGTAGTTCCTGAGTTATTATTTTGTTAAAAACAGAAAGCTGGTACGTGATCCGTAAGTGCCCATGATTTTGAAATACATTAATTTATAAGTCTCAAGTTTCAAATATGTATCAAAAGAATAGATGATTTCAAATCGATCATACCATTTTTATCATATGACAAACTGTCTTACGTAGTATGTATGTTTCTACATTTGAAAAGGTTGATAGGTGTAATTAGATACTAGTCGAATGTAAATGATTTGCTCAAACTCACACTATCAGAATTACATGGTGATAATATTCAATCACAAAATATTGTTTACCTTCTTATGGTGCAACAAAATTATTAGTTATCGACTAATATGAGACTAAGTTTTATAATCAGACAAAATCAATTAGCGAAAATAATTACCTACAATATCTTGGGGATATTTATTTGGTTGAAGATAAAGAATTGTATTACTTTAAAGAAACAACTACGTATTTTAAACGACATACGTTTTAATAAGCTACGTCATTCATGTAGTGTAACTTTTGAAAAAATCCCACTATCAGATAAAAGCTGTTAGCCACTCTGTTATAGCAACAAATAGAGTAATTCAAAGTATTATCTCAACAACTGCGATCTTTGCAGCTTATACAAATAACATCAGGAACTTGGTTTTTATGGGTAACTCTTTCTGAATTTGGATAGTCTTAACATGGTGATTTTACTACTAATAGTTGAATTCATGTGTCAATTGAAGTTAGACCACCATGGAAAACCTGGAAGCACTGAACGGCAGTTTCGTTCCAATATGGGACTCCTCAGCAGTGAGCATCCACGATCCCACTCCACAAGATACGAACCCAGGACGTATCAGTCTCGTGCACGAACGCTTAACCTTTAGACCACTGAGCTGGCATCCTACGACGTTAATGTCTAACCTCATTTTTTCCACATAATTCAAACTACATACAAATTGTATCAGTAAAGACCTCAATAAAGTTGCCCAGTGATCGTCGAAATCCAATTCAGAACTTAGAACTGAAAAATACTGATAGGTTTGCTCTGATGACCCATTTCTCAACCAAAACTTCACCATAAATCCTTAGGTCTTATCTAGGTTACATACAGTGATGGATTTAGGGCTCAGATATTCCGACAATCTCTCCATCTCATAACAGGTCTTCAAACAGTCTCAACTACTTCTCGGATGTACATTTCGTAGCATCTATAACATTGATTCACTTTGATGCACAAAGTATGTGTCTGATAAATCCTAGAATACGGAACTTCTACTGTGAATAGAGTTTAAATTCAGGATAAACTTTCGTTGAAATCCATACAGCATCGATTTACACTTCGCATTATGAGGAATGATTAAATAAAAACTACTAACCCGAATGTAATAATCTTTGACTAAACCCTTGATGGGAACGGTGACTTGAATTTAATCTTTTTCTTGGAACTATTTAACAAACTATTTTTTGCATCCACTGATGCAACACAATATCCATGAAAATCTGCTTATAACATCTATAACTATTTATCATCAGTGAAACTGTTTCACTCTAAATCTCCATATATGAGTTAGTTTTCTAGTGAAATTTCAAAACTCTGGAATAGATTGAAGCCATTTTTGATGAAATAAAATAATTGTCATCATTCATTCATTGCATCGGTGTTTATCACTCCTCAGAAACTGCCATAAATGTTCGTACAAATTCGAATGTATTCCATTCTAACAGTGAAATTATGGGTATATTGTATGTTTGATCATTGTTATTATTGAGAGCATTCATTACACTTTCTTTCTGGCAAATATTTTACGCTTGCGCTGACCCTGGTTAATTTGACTAATTAAAATATCTGTCCAGATAAATGGATTATAAAACAACTTAGCAATTGTATAACAGTCACTTTTTTCTTCTGTGCTTCTGCGCTTTGTTTTTATCGCCTTTTTTAGTTGCAGATGACTACATGTACTCTGTAATGCTCCTTCATACACTACTCATGCACTAACAGTATTCCCTTGTTCTCGTAAAAAGAGTTAACAGCTCCCAAATGCTGCCACATATTGTTGTAATCTTTGCAATAAATACCCTTTAGAAACAATTAATTAACCACATCAATTCAAACAACTTAACAGTAAATCTTTGTCCTATACACGTAACATTGGTTTCTGTATCAATCTGATTATACATGTAAAATGCCATATATTCTGTAATTTTTCCGGGATATTATATTTAATTATTATTCATTATCTGATGTCTTGATTGCTATTTCAAAGATTACCAATAGTAGATAAGACAGAATTAATTTTAAATGAAGTGATTCCATGAAAGAAAACGTTCTTGGTTAGTCTTCACGCAAAACAATACTGCTGTTGCTAAAGTGAAACTGTAATATCTTGTTAACATTCGTGATGATCGTTTGATAGAAGTCAGTAATCAATTGTATTGACAAATATCGATCAGTCAAATTTGTTTACCATATATTGCTAAATGTTCATAGAAATTTGAGCTTCAACACTACAGTTTAACAACAATAAAAGTAATTAAGTCTTGGGATTCCAATTCTTAC